CATTGTGATCACATGATCAAGGAACTGATGCAACTGAAATAATCTCGGGAAAAAATAAGGTACAATAAACAACTCCACGAGTCAGAGAGTGAGCAAAAAGAGTAACCACCGAAGACCTTCACTATTTATGAACACAAAAAGTTCCAGTCGACTAACCAGTCAGATCATGGACTTAAGTCTAACCAAAAGGCTCAAAACAAAGCAGAATGTAGTAATCATTAGTTTCTAGAAGCAGCTGTATGTAGGACAGGAAAAAGATGGTCCCTCTCCCATCTTAATTCATTTGTAAGATACAGCAGACCATAAGAAAACAAGGTATTAAACAGCATATACTATGAAAAACTGTAAGCATTTTAATTGTTTAAAAGTAAAACAAGGCTATAAATATTCACCCCATCTACTGAATCATGCTCATAACAAATCCCATCCTTGTGGTCTGGTCCAAGAACTGAATCCTGGTGGTGATTTCTTCTAGTGGGTGCTACTTTTTCCCTTTGGTTTCCATCACGAGTCTTTACTAGGTTTTCCCAACTGATCACTGAAGCTGTTTGTTTAAAAAAGGTGACTTGCTGCCACATTGAAAGTTAGAAAAACAATCACATATGCCCCGTGGCATGTGTTGGTTGACTGGCCTTCCCAGCAGAAAGTCACCCTCATTCTTACCCAAGACCTGCTGCTTCCTACCAAAAATCATAAATAATAAAAGTACAACTCAAAGTTTAAATCTCTACTTGTAAATCTGGCAACACAGACATTTTCTACTTTAGGACTTCAGTATTTAGGTTCACTGTACAGTCATATGACATATCAAGACTGCAGTTTCAGCAACTGGTTTAAAATCACTAAGATGTTTTCTGTTGCATCCAATTAGCCCTGCAGAAGCACTTTCGGTTAATAAGTTCTCTAACACAGGGTGGAAAGTGGGTATAAAACACTGACAGTACTGCTGGAACTTACCATGTGCTATTGTTAGACTTGACTTAGCATCCAGAGTCTGTGCAGCAGGGGCGTTCACTGAAACAGCATCAAAAGGAAAAAGCTCACGAGTTCCGTAATTAAAGAGAAAGCATCCGAACACAAGGACAGCCAACTACTCCTCAAGTTAGTCAAGATGTATACAGATCATCAGGGACAAATGTTTCAGATGACAGAGAGAGTGCACAACTAATCGAAACTCACTTGTACAATAGCTTTGTTGAGATATAATTCATCCTTTCAAAATGTACAATTTAGTGGATTTTAGAACATTCACAGTTATTCAATCATAACCACTATCAATTGTAAAACATTTTCAGCATCCCCCCAAAACACCACATATCCATTAGCCGACGCTCCTCACTCCCCCACCGCCCCCGCCAGCCTCTGGCAACTGGTCTACTTTCTGCCTCCATGAATGAGCCTCCTCTGGACATTTCACATAAAGAGAATCATACAATACGTGGTCTTTTGCATCTGGCTTCTTTCATTCAGCATCATTTTCAAGGTTCATCCACATAGCGGCGTGTATCAGTATTTCATTACTTTTTATAACCAAATAATATTCGTTGGAATGTACATACCACGTTTTGTTTATCTACTCATCTGTTAATGGGCGTTTCGTGTTGTTTCCACTTTTTGCCTATTATGAATAATGCTGCTGTGAACACTGGTGTACAATAAACCAATTTTTAAAAATACTCCAATTATACAAAGAAAAGATTAGTCCAAAGGACTAATTGTCCACAGCTACCAAGGCCTCCACCGGACTGAATCCAGTACAGCTAGATGGTGCCCCGCTACCACCAGTGACTGCTCTGACCAGGATCACAACAGAGGGTTCTGGACAGAGCTGGA